TGCCGCAGTGAGTCCCGACCTTCAGTTTCACCCAATCTACCCATTGCCAGTTACTACTTTGCATCACCTTTCGGTGAGTTGTTGATTGCATTCAATTGCTATTTGGTGGTTTTGTATTGACGTTTTCATCTAGCTCAAAAGAACAAGGAACCATTAGTCGGTTTATTATTTTTTTTGAATCCGCCAACACTAACACGTAGGAATGCTATACCTTACTGAATATAGTTTTGAGCTTTGTTTCTGATTTTTTTTTGAATTTTATCACATTCTAGACAGTTTATAGAAAACGCTGCCAAATGTTGTCACATCTTACTTCGAAATTCATACTTTTTACTCTGACATTCCGAATTAAACGTCTTAGGCCACCATGAATTGGACCATAAAAGTTGAATTACAATTTGTTTCCTGGTTGCTTTGAGGGAATTTACGTTAGTGGGAGAAATTACTTAGTTTACTCATACGAGATTTTCAGGTAGTACAAAGTTATCTGTAGTGTGTGAGCTCGGGGACTTTGTTCAAATTGAGACTGAAATAATTCTCCGATTTTCTTTGGTTGCTACAGTTATCAGTACGAATTGCTAAAAGCGGTGCACGACGATCAAGCCACTAAATCCAAAAATTTGTTTTCAAACCATTATTTTAGACCTTTGGGATTCCTGGAATATGCCATACATCTGGATATTTGCAAAGTAGAGGGCAGATAGGAAGATTGAATTACGCCCTGGACTACTACTGGGATTTAGGTTTGATGCAATGCTTCCCTGCGTTCACATCCACGGTTTATGCATCGATCAGCGTTCCAATAAGATGCTCATGTATAGGACGGGGCTTCGCCTTTTGGTATCTTCTTGTTAAGTGCAGCAGGAGTAGCGGCCAACAATGGTCTAGAATGCGTCCTATATTGCAAGAATCGCACATAGAGCCGATGTTTTAGCAGTCACTCTAGCTTTTACTAAGAGATCCATTTCAATTATGCATCAAAATTGAGCAGGAGCAATGCTCAACTTCTTGCATAGCCAATCGCATTTCACTCCAAGATGCATTTGTACAAAGGTACATCACCTGAAATTTAGCCTACGCAGATAATATGTGTAAAGGAGGAACAATGAGGGCAGCTATGTGACACGTGGTCGTTTGTCTGAAAGGCGGTCACAAAATGCTGTCCATGTAGAGGATTGGATATTATCAGAATCTGTAAAGAAAATGTGCCCTGAAGGCGGTTAAACTGTGATGTTTCCATCAAATTGTCCGGTCGCCACAAGGACAAGAAAGCAGATATGGAAGATGGTAACACCATCGACGTTGGCTTTAATGAAGGCTTGATCATGCGAGGTTACTGCTGACTTATCGTACCTTCAAGGCTAATGTGAATAAGATGAGGATGTGATACAGGGTTAATTTACAGTAAGTTGCGGATATCCTTTCAATTAATTTAGACCTTACCGCAAAGTAAAACGTAATTAAGTGGTCCAAATCGAAACGGGTATGATTGCATTATTAAACATATCGTCAACAATGTTGTTTTGCCGGATAGGAAGAAGGACAGAGAGGGAGAGGTTGGAGGAACAATAGAGTCAGACATCACGTATGTAGGGTTTAAGGATGCGGCGGCTACAAAATCTATTATTGTCGGCCAGTTTGGTCGGTGCTGGTGCTAGCCACAGGCTCTTTTGCTGCCATCTGGGACTCTTTTCTTAAGGCACCACCACCGCCGTAATACGCCGCCCTCCTCAGAGCCAGTTTGAGCGTTGTACTGCTGCTACAGCGTCGTCTTTTGGCTTGGGACTCGATGCGCTGTTTAGTTGCAAAGCGGTGCTTTGGAGAGCAGATGAGACTGAGGCGGGGCTGTGGGGTGACGCGATGGCGATGACCACAGTCGCGGCGACGCCCATCGGCTTCCTCCTGCGGTTTCTCATCCTCCTCATCATCTACCTCATCCATGTCCGTTGCGGTTTCGTGAGGGGTGGCGGAGGAGCGGACACGCACCTTCCGTTGGTAGAGTCGACTGCGGAAGGTGCGAGACCATGCGAAAGTGTTCTCTCCTTGACTACGACCTCCGCTCTTTTCTGAGGAGTTGCTTCCCGATTCGGAAGTTTTGCTGGAGATGTTAGGGTATCGAAAGGATGAGGAACTGAAGCCATTGACGTTCTTTTCGGCCTATAGTTGGACAGAGCTCCCATGTAGTCAGTATTTCTATATCCTTATTATTTGTCTCTGATATGCACAAATTCTTACCTTAATTATCAACACTGTATCAAACAACTTGCATGATTTAGTTCATTGCAAGAATCTTTAATTTAAACCACAACATATGGCTTAGGCACGGTAATATTATTGTCATATTGGGTTTTCTGAATTGTGGAAAGCATCTACATGTGATCAGTTGGAAGCTGATAACGGTCGGGTAGATACATGCATGCTTGATGAGAGAGAAGTACCTGTGTAAGGTCCGTCTGAAAGAGTTGAACTTTTCGAGGGGAGGGAAAAGCATTTACATTTAGTGATTTTTTCCTCACACACACATCCTTTGCGCCCTTTTTTCTGCTAATAGGTTTTTGAGCCAGGGAGTTTTGGCTCTGACTGAATACACTCGAAACTGAATCCAGTTTGAGCCAACCTTTAAAGTGAGAGCAACTGGTCCTGGATGCTCACATTTATCGTTTTCATTGGGAGGTTGACCTCTTTTGCAAAATCACTGCACATTGTGCGCCTGCACTATCCTTAGACCATGGGTACATCATAACACTCACCAAGTTGGCCGACGGTAACTTGCTTTGGACTGTGGATGGTGGGAGACGGTTTTGTGTAATAACTGTGTATAACGAGGACGGTCTCTCACAGTTATCAGAACACTAAAAGTGTGCTGCTAGTTCGGCACATGATCTTAGCTACAGGCAGTGCAACACAATTTACTCCACTAAAGCCCCTTAACCTTGGCTGTCGCTGCCACACTAAATGTATTCACTTGCCCTTGTATCATTCTCATTTCAAAGGGTAAATGCTGCCCCTTGATGACATATGAGAACAAGCAATAGAGCACAACGGAGTTCTCTAGTGGGTGATCGAGGTTTTGTTCGAAGCATTATTAGGAAAGAGGTGTCACTCGGTTAACATAGCAGTGGCTTTGAAGGCCTTCATCAACGTTATAACCGAGCTGCGACCATTGTTCATAGCACGATCGGTAGATGGTCAAAAAGGCTTGCGGGAATGTGGGAGATCGAACCAATCAAATGCACATCAACAAGCGACAATGGAGTCCAGTATTCAATTAAGGTATGGGCGTTTACGGGCTCTGTGCTCTAAATGCTCTCGAATTGTCAGCATTCAGCACCCCTTCTCTGAGCATCGCATTTCTTAAGAATTAATTTTGGTTTTTAGGGCTACTTATCTGTGATCGCACCTATTGAACGGCGTCTATCGGGTCTCTGAATGTACGGTCGATTCCGTAAAGCTAAGTACCTTAAGATGCCTTACTGCATATCACGGTAGCAGTTGAAGCATTTGTATAAATGACTTCGAAATTTGGGTCTACTGTTATTGTCTGCAGTCCGGACTGGAGTGGATCATGGCAACATTTAAACGTAACGAGACCCACTTGATTCACATCGTTACGCATGCTTCCACCATGACAACACCATGTTTTGTCCTCATTCGCTGAAATTTGAAGTGATGTTTTGGTCTGAGCTCTAAAAAGAAGCGCCAACAACTTTGACAGTGTTATTCTTTTTTTGTGAATTTGAAGTGGAACCACATCCGCAAAAGGAAGGAAGTGTTAGTTTCTCTCGCGGTTAAATTTGGCACTTAGTGGAGGCTAATTAGGAGTTTTGGCCGTAAATAGCGGGTGGATTTCAGAGAACAATTGAGATACATTACCAATGGATTAAGTGTTTCCCTTTCTTGGGCAATTTTTGACTGTAATCGGTCACGGAGGATGTGCAAAGCCTTTAAGGTGGCTTGGAAAATAGAGGTATTTACTGTCTCTCCATAATTTCAATCAAGGTGAAGCCCCTTTTTATTACTCCGGTCCGAATTAATAAGTAGCAAATGAAGTGACTGCTATCTGTCAATAATTAGCTTCCAAAAGATGAGCCGTTTGGACAACGGCTTGCCTGTTGAGGTGGTTTAAGCTGGATTGACGTGTCTCAATCTCTGGACACGCATGAAGAGAGAGGGAGGGTAGAGGAGACCTCGTTGACATTATAAGCGTTGATTATTAAACGACTAAACACTACTGCTAAAAAGCCTAAATGACTCGAGGTTAAAATAACTGAATGCTCCCACTGACTGTTGATTTCGAGTTTGTCTGGTCTCAATCGCAGGTGGTGCATTCTTGCTATTTTGGGGCATGAGGGAGGAGAAAGGTCATTTCAAGTGATTTTATCTGACTTATTCACCGAGGCTATCGTCAAACCAATGGGCTAATTTCGTGACAAATGATCATGATTTCGCCAAATAGCAAATATGAGCATGAGTTGGCCTTAAAATTTTTATAATGGAGAAATTTAACTCGACTTGTAGTGAGAATATTGGATGTGCATTAATTAAAGGGAAGAAAGATGGTACTTATCAAAAGGCACCGACATCATTCGGGACCATCAACAAGTGTGCGGCAGAGGGTCGTACCAGCCATAAACTAAAAACTCATGGAATGTTTTTTTTCTCTTTTCATTCTGACGTCACATTAACATTGTCGTTATGCAAGGCGATTGGAAGATGTAATACATCATGGTTTGTTTTTAAAAAAAGGGTCATGCCTTCGTAGTGTGGCGGTAAATGTTACAAAGGATTTGAGCTCGATTTTTGGAATAGGCGGCTAATATTTAATGACAAGAATGCCTTTGCCAAAGACTAGCACTCAGATGATGTGCGGCAAAGAATATTACCTGGTTTACGATCTCCTTCACTATCTCGAGATCCTCCTGAAGGTTCTTCCGGTGGATGACTTGCAACGGGTCCCTTCCTAATTGATGCAACCGCTCCGCAGCAACTGATTCCAAGGTGCGTCTCATGAATGGGTAGTTTTGCAGTACATCCTGGAAACTGGTTCTGTCCAGGGCGTATAGGTTGCAATATGTTTCTGCACGCACACTGGCAACGCGCCTAGCATTTGTCAGAAGACAGATTTCTAAGAGACAAATAAAAAAAGATTCAATGATGGCTGTAAAATGTCTGTGTACCCTTCCCATAAATTAGTTCCATACTGTTGTTCTTTGAGCAACGAGTCTCGGCACCGTAATTAAATTTACTTGCTCAGTTTGGAAAGTCCTCCTACACGACAAACGTAAACGTCTACAGAAATAAGTTCAATAAAGAGATGTTAGCTACTTCATACAGACTCTGTCAATAAGGCTTTGATTTTTAAAGCCCATTTTCCCCATAAACCTCTAAATTTATTCGTTAGCTTATTACGTTTTAATTGCCCCTTGTAAACCATAAATGTGAACTAATATTTGGGCCACATGCGCGCAAGATCATTGGCGTTTCAAGCAGCGATAATTTGAATTGGACATCACTTACTACTATTAAATTGCAGTACAAAAACCCGTTGATTTTACTTTTTATGTTGTTAGGTGGTAGCACGAATCGCTGAATTCATTATTAAAGTGAACTTGGCTCAGAGCGAGCTTTGGCGTTTCTAGGCCTTCTCAGGAACGAAGAAAGACAGAATAACGGGGCAAAAAGTTGGTATCCTCAATCTATGGAAGAGATTAGAGACTGTTGGCTTGACTCTGATCGGATCCGTCGGTAAACACCCAACAGCGATTCAAACGAACACTTGAAGTATTATGGGGATCAGCATGGTTTTATCAAATTAGCACATTGTGCACACTAGCATTGCAAGGTAGAAGCTTGATGTGGAGGAAAAATTCGGGGCTTTTTTACAACTTTAGCTAAAGTATATGTAACATCAGGAAAGAGGTACTTTATCTCGTGAGTACTTGAATGCACACCAAAGTCCTGATTGGGTCACTTTGACAAAAGTAATTCACAAAATTGGAACTTCTTATAGGCAATGAGTAAATTCAGCTGTTGATATATCTATAGTGCGTAAACAACCTTCTTGTTTCGAAATATTGTGCTCGTTGTAAAGTTTGACAAGAATTATTGGAGTTATGAAGCAGATATAAAACGCTTCCCTTGTTATTCTATTTGTAGAGGCAATTACTTATGCAAGTCATTATTCATTCCCAGGGGAACAGCACGGGTCTCTCGCCTATTGTACTCGGATAAACCCTTCGGTTTGCGGAACCAGCCAAAGCAGCTCTGGTAGTCCTCACCCCCATAACCGTTTTACTTTCGGACAGTCTACATCGCGTATGGTTGTCTGATGCCTAAGATGAGTACGAGGCGTTCGTCAGGTTCTCCATGTTCTTTTCTACTACTGCGATAGAATGTGGCTTGAGCCCTCGTGTCTTGGAGCATTGAGCAGCTGGTTCTCATTTCTTCCCTTTCTTTATATCTGACATGCGTCGTGTTAAATCGGGCAGATGGATGTGAGGCGTAATTGTTAGGTCTACAACAACAACAACACCAACTCCATTTTGTGGTCAATCACGAATACACATGCATAGCAGGTGCTATCATCTAGAAATGAAGTAGTGCAAATTCCAGGCAGAAGAGAGAGCAGAGCAACCGATAAGGGAAAAAGGGGAGGTTTTGTAGCCATTGGAGGGAATCACACTGAACCACATTCGAAAGCCTTAACTCGCACCAAACTTATTAATATTTTCCAATGAGTTCCGGCAATTGTTGCCCTGCCATGCTACTATTATGATAATAGCCTGAAAATTCGCATATTTTGTTGACGAGCATAGTCACTTATGGGTAAAAATATTCCGAGGTTATAGTTCTTATCCAGCACACTAATCAATGCTTCTTTGGAGAGGCCCTAGTAGGACTATACTTCTTAGGGGCATCCACGCCTACACACATGCTATTAAAGCCCTCTGACGAATATCGGGGGAAACATGATTAAAGAAGCAATTGCCCATTGTTTGTGGGGTGAACTGTCTCGAACGCAAGCGTTAGGTATAATAAAATAGGGCAAAGAAATCGCGAAATAACCGCATATGCTTCAGCCTAAGTGCTAATGTAGATATTTTGTTATGTACACATTTGAATATGCATTAAGTGATGGGACTCTCGTGCTTCTGAAAGGTAAAACTAGACATACTTACGTCGTCTGTAGTGAAATTCGAGGATGAATATATTATTAAAACTTGCTGCTTAGAAGCATTTCGTGGTAGCTAGGATTCGAAAGGAAACATTATCGACAAAAGCTGTCTCTAACCTTGAGTAACAGATGCAAAAAGCAGTACAGCTCCTTTGAGCCCCATGTTCATTTTAAATGCAAGGCGTCGCCCTTGGTAGGAATGCGAAACCATAAAATTTCAACAGATTTAGCTTTGCTACTAATGAGAGTAAGCGTTTGCATTCAAATATGGTTTGCAGACTATGAAACTACCGATGATGCTAATTAAGAAGAGGTATTACGACTGGAATGTAATAGAACTTCAGGTCAAGACAAAAGTGGAATCGCAAATGCGCCTTTGGTCTACAATGAGTTGACTGC